AATAAGTTTAATACCTCAATAAATTCCGACAACTATACAAATAATCAGTAAATATCGATAACCGGTAAGCTCGAAATATTCGATACATTAGGATAACTCGATAAATATCTATAACCGGTAAGCTCGAAAAATTCGATACATCAGGATAACTCGATAAATATTGATAACCGATAAGCTTGAAAAATTCGATATATTACGATAACTCGATAAACTGCTATAGCTAAATAATACTATGTCTCCACGGGCACTGCCAATTACGTAGTTCGCTTCTGAATTAGTTTGACAATTCATTGTGTTTTCTTTTCCTCCCTTTCTTTGTTTTGATTTTTTTCTTTCTCTCTTGCTTTGACAGCTGAGTTCGATAAATTTCCGATTAAAATTAGAGATGGTAATTGGATCTGAATTATCTAGAAATGAGGTAATTCCAAAGAACGTAGATAACAAGAAGGGAAAACTCGTTATAGTTATGGCGAAAGCGCGCAACAGGGGCGTGCCTTCTCTTTTCATCCAATCAAAAAACGCACTAGGGCAAAAGAGAAGGCACGCCCCTGTTGCGCACTTTCGCTATAATTATAACGAGTTGTCCCTTCTTGTTATCTACGTTCTTTGGTGGGAATAATATATTTTTTTTTGTGCCTTGGAAACATGAAAAAGCATCTGAAGTGCAGAACGAAAGCGTATTCAAACGAAACTTACTGACTTTGAAGTGCTTTAAGCTAAATGCATTTTAAAGTGGTTGAAATCAAATGCAGAGTCGGACTGATGCCTAGGACATCGCCATGATAAAGTCAGCCGTTCTTTCCAAGTAAGAGAATAAGATTTTCAACTAGTTGTGGTGGGTAAAAGACTGGTTGAACATCGATATTTAAACTAGCTTCTTTCCCTACTTGGCATATGTACACTTACATATACATACTCAGATGTGGACATTCAAATACGTGCGTGCTAAATTTTGGTATGAAAATATTCAGCCTTATCATGAGTTTAATTTTCCCCGAACCGGTTCACTTTTCACTCTTGGTTTCCATGGCTTTACTATGGGCGGATGACAAATTTTCGGGTGAATATTCAGTTTTACTATGCGTTATTTCCCGCAGTGTAGAGAATTTGTAAAGCGGCTACTGAGATAGAAAATTTATCATAAGTGGGCGGTGCCACGCTCCATTACCAATAAGTTGTGCGTACTTATCTTATTATTTTCTGCTTAAATACAGCTTTGCTAACCAATTTTCAGTAATTAACCACTACTAAAAAATTTTAATTAATAAAAATTTTAGTTTTTGAATTTTTCAACTTTTTTTGAACCCTGTACTTATATTCATTATTAAAGCTTGGATATTTTCTCACAACAACAATATGGATATTTTCTTTTTTCAGATGCAATTTAAATTCTTAAAATACATATGCAGTCGATCAATAAAGTTTTGGTACAGCGATATTTTCGCAACACGGGCAACTGTGACACCCTCAACAAAAAAATTTGTCAATAATCACTGATAAGTCCTAGCTTCCTGAAACTTGCACTTTATTATAGTAAAATTGAATGGGCTAAAAAAGTCCATTCCCAACCTTTTTCGAAAGAGTGTAATTAAAAAGTGCACTATTTTATTGAATATTTTACGAATTTTCTTTAATTTTGCACAAGGTTGGGAGCTCTGATTTTTGGTGTTTATGTTGTAGAATTAACCATATTTTTATAAAAAATCTGCGAAAAATAAAATAATTAAAAAACAGTTGTCCATATTGCAAAAAAAATCGCTGTACCTAAACCTTATTGATTGACGATATGTGCGTACATTAGTTCTAAAACTATGATTTTTGCAACGAAAAAAGTCAAAAGGCCCCATAGTGAGGTGGTCAGCGAATTATCTGAGTAGTCGATAGTCGTCAGTCATTTTCAGGGATAAAATTAAGAAGCAATACAAATTAAATAGGGGTTTCCACAGGGTGGTGTCCCTTCTCCGCTTCTGTTCAACTTCTATATTTCGAAACTACCTCAACCACCAGAGGGAGTCTCCATCATCTCATACGCTAGCGACTGCTCGATAGTGAAATAACCTTTACGAGCTTTCTTCTGGATACCTTTTAATGTCTCCAGAACACAATCTGAAGAATGACGAAAGAACAAATGTTCCCCATTAAGCAGCACAAGGAGTTCCAGACGTGGGCACCCGACCGAAACTAAATGTCGTTCTCGATTTTTTTTTGCAAGAACGCTTCAAAACCAAAACCGAAATGCGAACAAAATTGTCGAGAACGATCTCAATGCGAATTATATAAGAACGAACCCCTGTAGAACGTTCCCAAAGAGAACAAGATGCGAACAATACTTTCGGGAACATTTCTAAGCGAACAAAATGGGAACAAAAGTCTCCGTAACGTTTTGGCAAAGAACAAAAGTCTGTGGTACTTTCTCTCGAAGAACAATTTGGGAACTAGAGTCTCAGGCACTTTCTGACAGAGAACGAAACGGGAACAAAAATTCTCTGAACTATTCGCGAAGAAAGGAAGCAAGAACACAATCTTTCTCAAAGCGTTCCATTCAGTGGCGGATCCAGCGGTGGCGCTTTGTGTGTTAAACTACGTGTCTGTCAGTGGCGGACCCACGAGGAGTGTTTTAATATGGCGCATATGTATGTATAATATTGCGTCTATGTATTAAAACATCCCCCGTGGGTCCGCCACTGACTGACACGAAGTGTAACCCCCAAAACCCCCTCGCTGGATCCGCCACTGGTTCCATTGGTTTGAAATGTTTGAATAGTAAAATTAATCAAAAAAGAACTGAAAGATAATTATGCAAAGTAAACGAAAGACTTAAGACACGAACTTTCCTTGTAAATAAAATGAAAAATTGTTCCATAAATGGATAGTTCATCCTCATGATAAACGACTTGGAAGTTTAAATGATCCAACTTTCCTCTGGCTTAGAATTAACAATCGTGGTACTCACTGAAACGATTTTTCATCCCACGACGCAGGCGCCCCTCTCAGTTTTAGCGTAAATTTTCCGTAACTTTTGTTCTCTAGCAGAACGGTTCCCAGGCTTTTCTTCTGGTTTGAACTACTTTTCTCATTGGAAATGTTTCTGAAAGTTTCGTTCTCATTCGCATTTTGTTCTTTACGGAAACGTATTCAACTTGTTCCCGTTCAAACTGCTCTCAATACTTTTGTTCTCGCTTGGCTCTTTTGTGGGAACGTTCTTGACATTACCGGAACGACCCAGATTTACATCTGGCCAAGGACTCTCACTCCAGCAACCCACCCCAAAAACTCTATGGGGAATTTGTATGCTGTTACAACAACAACAGCAATAGCGAGTTTGGTTGTAGCTCATTGAGTTCGTTCATTTCGATACTCGCTAACTGTTGGCGAATCCATGATGCTATACTTAGTTCTTTCTTCTTTTCTCTTCCAATAAATAAATTAAATACTACTCAATATAATACTATTAGTTTATATGGTTTTATTATAAAAATTAAAGCAACATAAAAGTATTCATACAGTATGTACATGCGTATTGCACATACATATGTACATACATATATCGTCGATGTTTTTGCAAAACCGCCCATCGACCAGTTGCAAAACTGCCTAAATCGCCGTTGTGGCAAAAATGAGATTTGGTAACCCTGAACTCCAGGCATAAAAATCGTTAAATCGTTATTAAAACAACAGATTTGTAAAAATAATAGCTAGAGAAAATACCGCCTAGCAAGGCAATATCTTCAAAGAATAAACCGTTTTTTCGCTCTCCTGTAAAATTTGAGTGCCGTAAGATAGGTGGTTTTGCAATTGGGCGATGGGCGGTTTTGCAAAAACATAGACGGTAATACACTTGATATATGTAATTCACATCATAGTATATACAAAAACAGTTAAATGTAGAAAAATATATTTATGTATGTATGTATGTATCAGCATCTTTTTAAATTCTTGATTAATAGACATAATAAACTATTCTGTTTCGTCAGCATCACTTGTATCATCACCGTTTTTACTCTCCAACTGAATTTTTCTTTCTTGCATTCTCACGCATTTCGGACAAACCATATTTTTCCGGGTCATGCAGACACGATGGTAAATTGAATTACATTTATCACACATAATGCAGCCATCATCGAAAGGAAATATTACTTCATTATTCCCGCATATTTCGCAAATATATGCTTTGGCTCGACATATCTGACAATTCCGTATATGCCGATCGAATGCGTTAAACAATTTTTGTATATAATCGATTAGAATGCCTTTTTCAATAAGCTCCAAGTCACTTATTGAATAGAATTCGGTGGATTGAATGAGGTGACGTCGCGAATCGTTCCCACCTGCAGTATCGTTGGTAAGGTGAGCGATTATTTGCTTATCTATAAGTTTTTCCTCAGCTGCTGTACGACATTTTAATAAATATTTCCTCATATAGAATAAATTTTGTCGCAACTTTTTCACGGTACCCATCTTTTCCAAGAAAACAAACAGCTTTGGATTAGCTTCCTCTAGCTTAATAACCGGTTTATAGTGGAATAGAGATATTTCTTGCAGCGAGGCACGAGATACTTTGTGTTGCATAAAATCCCAATTATGAACTACTCGAGCAGGAATAATGCTACTATCGTTCCAATGGCAATTTGGGCAATAGTATAGGCCACTATAGTCGCACAAACGCGGTTCAATCCAGGAATTTTCTACAAACATATCAGAAAACGTAACAATTACAAATTTCATTATAAAAAACCGCAATCAGTTGTAAAATGCAATAATAGGAATCAGTAAATTTTTATGACAGTATCTGATTTAAAAGAAACCATAAACCTATGCGAAATTAAGTAAATAAAATTAGTAGATATTAATTGGCATGGTGCTGGGGAAATTATAACTATTTTGACATTTTTATTGTGTAAAATATTAGAAAAATAATAATATAAATAAAACTAATACTCATAAACCGTACTACCAATGCAACGAAATGTAAATGGACTTAATTTGTTACAACTTATAACAAAATCTTTACCCTGTTTTTTATTTGAGCCAAAACAGCTAACCGACTTGGGTAGTGCTAAATGAAAATAAAAACATAAATTAAAGAAATACATATAAACTAGAAATATACAAAAAGATTCCTACTTAATTCGTTCTAAAATTGTTTTCCGATCTTACATTCTTATATACTTAAGTATGTAGTATGTATGCATGATACAAGTTCTTATAATGATATGTATCATGGTATGTACATATGTATAAAAATATGTATGAATATGTATTATAAGTTTAAACTTACTGAAATTTAGCAGAATTCCACACTCAGCACACTTGTATCGTTGCGCTGCCAAACCGATTTCAGGACAGATTTCATCGATGGGATACCGGCGTTCCGATGCTACGACATGTGCACATATACGCACCACACTGTCCACACACTTTTGATGGGCCAGAAAATTGCAATCGCTACAGATATAACAAGCTTGAATCATACGCCATATGACACCACTGCAATGGTCACAATATTGACGGGTACCAATGTGTCCACCAC